ATGTCGGTTATATGCGGTATATACTGGTATATATGGAGTAATTTCCTCTACGTTCGTTTCATTGACGTTCCCATCAATGATGGTTTCCAGCTGCTTTATGCAATGGAAACTACTAATGATACTTTACTTTAAATTTCCGTTTCTGGAAACTAACTTTGTTGGTTTCCGGTAGTTTACAGTCGCTGAAACTAACCTTGGAAATTTAAATTTTAATGTGTGCATTATATATAAAAACAAATCACCTGTCTGCGAAAAGACAGTAAAATAACTAGTCTATCACAAATGTACACTAAAACATATAACCATAAACACTTTAACAGTACAGTATAAAAATGGGCTATTGCTTTTCCTCCCTGCATGAGCCCAAGCTGGATACTGTATATAGAAATTATTTTACAAGTGTAACAGTAAATTAATACAGCCCCCCAATGGAACAACACAAAGCTAAGTTTGCCATTTCATCTAAGCTGAAACCAACAGACTTGTCAGTATCCGGGTACAGAAACCTAGCTGAAACCTACATTACCCAGTATCCAATAGGTTTCCGCAACAACGGAAACTAAGTCATATTGTTATGAATCTTTCAGCGACCTGAAACTAAATGGAAACTCATAATGACAGTTTCAGTTGTAGAAATCAGACGGAAACCTAGATTTGTTAGTTTCAATTTTGTAAACTACGCGGAAACTCACATTGTCTGTTTCCGGATGCTGAAACCTAGCGGAAACGTACATTACCCAGTATCCATTAGGTTTCCGCAAAAATGGAAACGAAGTTATTTTTGCTGTGTAGGAGGTAAGTGCAACGCTTCCAAAAATGGATCAGGGTCAGTTCATTCAATTTGCAACAGATAATGTAGATCAATCTGAGAACATGGATTAACGCATACCGATGACGTTTTTGCCATTCAGATGACTGTTTGCCAAGGATGCCGAGGTGCTGATGCGCTAAAAAGGGATGGGTTCATATGTCCTGGGTTCATATGTTAAGGAGATGTTGAATCAAACTGCTTGATGTCTTGAACAATTCATGTAGAATATAAAATGAATCACTAGATTGTATTTTCTCAGTATTGAGTTATTTAACCTTCATGCCTATGGTCAACCTGAATCCCAGACTCAAAGCTGTATTAGCTCAACTTACGTGTTTGTGAGCGGTCAGACAAAGAAGTACAATGCCGGTACATATTTCTACAAGCCACATATATTATGTCAAGTGATCTACACAGATTCATATTCACGTGGAAATCAGCTGGTTGGATTTGACAAATAATATACTAGCGGAAAAAAGTAACTGTGCCTATAATTTTGTTAATAACTATCATGACAACATAAAATTTGGTAAACAGTTAAATCAATGTTTAATTGGTTTCATCGCAGACATGTTCTATGGGCGAAAGGTCTGGCGAAACTGCTGGCCATGGCAGAGCATCAATGTTCTTCTGCCTTAAATGGTCTGTGACGACACGTGCAACGTCTGGACGGGCATTGTCATGCTGAAAGGTAACGGGTCCATGGTTTTTGACGAAGGGCACAACGTGACGTTCAATAATTTCGTTTCGGTAACGTAAACCTGTCAGATTGCCTTTGACAATAACGACTTCCGTTCGTCCACGGTGTGAGATGTTTCCCCACAACATTACACTTTCACCTCCAAATGGACGACGTTGGGTGATGCACACGTCGGCGTAACGTTCCTCATCACGTCTGTAAACCCTAGCTCGCCCATCTGAACTGTCCAGGTGAAATCGAGACTCATCTGTAAACAGGACACAGTTCCAGTCTCGTTGTGTGAACCTTTGATGTTGTCTGCACCATGCTGGACGTGCTTGACGGTGACGTGGAAGCAAAACGGGACGTTTCGCAGGTCGTCGGGGTCGAATGTTGTGCTCTTTTAGACGGTTTCTTACAGCCCTCCCACTAATGGTTCTCAAACCGTTTGAGCTGTCAAAGTTGCAGGTTGAAACCGATTCCTTAGATGAACAAGGCGGATATGGTTATCCTACTGACGTGACGTCACGCGTGGACGACCGGATCGATGTAAGTCGCGAGTGTTGCCATTTTGCTGATAACGTCTCCAAAGAAACGATATGGTGTTCCGATGAACATTAAAACGTCTATCAACTTCAATTTGGGGCATTCCAGTCTGCAGCATACCAACGGCACGTAGACGTTCATTTTCAGACAGACGGGGCATAACGTTTTGCAGTGTAAACAGAACCAATAAAATGTTTTTCTTATCATCAGAAGTCTACACAAACGATATGTGCTCTTTTGGGCTGAAAAACACGTGTGACAAAATCACAATTGAGTTTAACATGCAAAACACGAAACTTGCAACGTGACACGAAACGCACGTGGATTTACTGTGAGAATTTGTCACCCATATGTTGACATGGAAGTTCCATCATGCATGATCTGATCTGTTCCTGTTCCAGTCTTTAGCAATAAATACACTCTTCTTTGAGTAAACCTAAACCTAGTGTCATGGACAAATGCCT